TATTGCATGTTATGTAGTGTTGTAGTGTTGTCATGTCAAGCATCATGGCAGTAGAGTGTAGAGTCAAGCATCATGGCAGTAGAAAAATATGGAAAGGACACATTATTTCGCCTATCGCCGACAGGTCATCTCCGCAGCAGTCGACCAGCCTTGCGACCTGCTCGTTTGTGTTACTAGAAGTACATGCATACGTCGCGAAAGTCGCTTAGATGAAGTAAATCGCCAAAGATACCAGCAGAAAAAAATCGCCGAAAATGGAACACGCCGCACCGAGAAGCGATATGCAGTCGCCGAACGTCGCCGAAAAAAAAAGCCGATCACCAATCTTTTTCGCCGCAAAGAAAAAAGGGAAACGCCGGAAAAAAAATAAAAAGATCGCCTATCGAGCAAAAGCCTAACCCCTGAGCGACGAAAATCAAATGGCGAATACTGTATGTTAAAAAAACGACCGCACGGAGGTGCGCTAACCCGCAACCTAACAACCTCACGGTACACCGGTGACTGCGGCGGCAATCATGATCCACGCTGTCCGCTTTCTTCCAGGCAATTCAGGACAAGGGCCCCTATAGTCTGTTCCGTGAAAAGAGGGCGCTGGAGTTCGAGCCACTCGCGCCCTTATGTCTCTTGATCTCTCAATTGCTCTCGCGAGCACGCTGCGAGCTGTACGAGCCATCTATCTCATACGGACAACTTTTATCAAGATGAGTTTTTTTTTTTTTGCCGATTTTCGGGGTTTCGGGTTTACAGGCAGGACGCAAGCAGCTGCGTTGGCCGGCACATGAAGGCTTGGTGATCGCTGTGGACTGGAATATGGTGAACGACCTGCTGCTCTCTGGAGGAGAGGATTGCTCTTATCGGGTAAGCGTTCACGCACCAATGGAGAACGAAAGATGCACACACCGCAGGCACGCAGCCTGTATCCAAACGCAGCTAATTTCGTAAGCTTTGTGTCGCATATTTTATGTTGGCGCAGACCAAATTGGTGAGTTTAGGATGATTGGCTATATATAAATATCGCCAATGACAGTAACGTTAAGCATACTTACCTGGCGGGGGCTTGCCAGTGGTCAAGATGACTGGTGACCCCAGGGGGAGCAGGCTCTTGCACTGGGCTCGACCCTGGAGTGCTGTAATCCCTGGAGAATATTCCTTCGGGGGTATCTCTACCGCATAATTTTTTTCCGGGGAGGTGTTCGCTTGCGACCCTCCCACCAACCTCCACACACGACATAACGTTGAACACACGACAATCAAACACCACTTAATTAGCCACCACCACACCCAAACTCACTGCTTAGTGGAACGGACACACGAATGGATTGATGATATTCGGTTTATTTGTGGGGGCGGGAAGTTGTGTGCATCTCGTGATGATGATGGTTTTTCTTTTGTGTGGTTTTTGTGTTCTGGTTGGTTGTTGTTTGTGCCCCCGAGGGGACGGACCTCGCAAGGCGATAGTGGAAAGCCGAGGAAATCCTGCCAGGACGCTGCAAGCAGTGCGCACCCGGCGCTTTCAAAAACAGGTGTGAAAATGACGCTCATTGAGCGTCAATCAGTTTTCACACTGATTAGAACAGATTCTCCCTTCTTCCCCTCGCTCCTCGACAAGCTTTTGCTTAGACATGGGTTGTAGTGAAGGGGGGGGTCTTTCTGGCGAGCAGGGCTAGACTCACCCTCAAGGGATGACCGAAACCTTCTTGCTGCTGCGCATATCCGCCGCGAGGCATGCGCGTGGTGGTGTAGTTGGGTCGGCACTGATGGGGTCAGGCGAAAAAATGTAGATGNATACGGTTTAATGTGAAGTCAACATATACCTTTTCTAGGTACGTTAGCCTGTGACCACGGAAATTGGCCGAGTCAAGTGATGGATTAGTACGGAGAGATTGAGACAGAAGGAGGTACTGGATAGAGAGACCGGGATGGTTTTTAATGTGAAGACAACAACAACAACAACAACAACAACAACAACAACAACAACTACACGTGATCCAAGCCAAAAGGCCGAGAAGGTAAATGTAAACACATTGCCAGATTTGTTTTCTATACACTCAAGCGTGAATAGGGGGTATTTTGGTCAGCGCCAAACGTCGGTGTCACCGAAAGTTTTTGTTATTCTATGTTGTTGTTGTTGTTGTTGTTGTTGTTGTTGTTGTTGTTGACTTCACATTAAACCGTATGCCAGTTGCTAAATGCCAAAATCTAGCAAAGACTCTCGGCCCGTGGTCACGAAAGTGCTGGAGCCATCTGAGGATCTAAAGAACACGCACACGTAG